TGTCCTCAAGTTTCCTTCATCAGGACCTACACATTTTCAGCTAGGTATTTCATCTTGGTCATCACTATTATAAATGTAGTCTTGCAGCGCCTGGGTGGCTCAGTCGGTTAAGCGTCTGCCTTCAGCTCAGGTCATGATCCCAGGGTCCTGGGATCGAGTCCCACATCATGCTTCTTGCTCAGTGGGGAGTCTGCTACTCTTTCTACCCCTCCCCCTGCTTGTGCTCGCTCTCTCAGAAAAAAAAAAAAAAAAGTCTTAAAAAAATGAAAAAGATAAAAATAGATAAGCTTTAAGAATAACTAAATGAATAAATAAAAAGGTAAATGTAGTCTTTGGTCCAGTACATCTTCTCACTACTTCCTTTTGCCTGATTTTTGGATTACTGTTGTGACTTCCCCCACTAGATAGGAAACCACGAGGTTTTAAATCACCATTGTATCCTTGTGCCTGGCACTGGGTCTGGCACAGTGGGTGCTGGTAAGCAGTAAGGGAATGAGAGAACCTGCTGATGGGAATGGGATTTAGCCAGAGAAGGCATGTCCTCCACCAGGGGCTGATGTCCCTCCAAAGCTTACGCTGTCAACGTGTCAGTGGGGACCCAGGGCTATTGATCTCCCTCTTTTCCTCCTTTTCTCCCACATTGCTGCACCCTGCACAAAATGCCGAGCCCTTGCTGGGTGCATTGGGAGATACACCTGCCCTGTACAACTCCCGGTCAGGCCTGATGCTCGCCAGCCAGGTACTCCTGATCAGGTCTGGTGCTCCCCAGCCAGGTACAAGTATGAGCTCAGGCTAGCTCCGCCTCCCACTGGCTGTCTGAGGTTGGGCAAATGCCTTCACCTCCCTAAGCCACAGTCCCCCTCATCTGTGCCTAATGTGCCCAATAATAATGCCTACTTTATAGGGCCATTGTAAAGAGTACTTAGCTCCTCAGCACAGGGCCTGGCACATCGGCTATGCTCTGTAAACACCGCAGTGTCTCTGAGAGAAAGCAGAAGGCTTTCCGGGCCCCTGGGCTGGGCTGCCGCCCTGGGAGTGAGGCCTAAGGCACATCTGGCCAAGGCCTCGCGAGTTGGCTAATGGGCCGCCAGACTCAGTCTTCGTTTGGATAGTCTTTCAGCCAATCGCTTACCTTTCTGGGTCTCGGTTTTCTCCTCTTTCTTTGTAAGCTGTAGACGAATCCCGTCCCCATCCTTAGCTCTTTGCAGGACTGGAGAGGGTAAGGAGGATGATGGAGAAGGTAGTCTTAGAAAGTAAAATTATGACACAGGGGAAAATCTGGTTTTAATCTATGACACAATGGACATTAGCCACATTTGTGTGGCTAGCATCCAGATACTCTATGTTCTGTGATGGACATTAGGGCCTGGTGAATCCTTGTCTCTTACAGTGTTGGGTTGACACTTGATCATTAATTTCTGAGCGTGTTGTTGAGAGCAGTGTGTGCTCTCTCAAAGGCCATCTGGGACTTCTCAGGATTCTGTCTCCAACCAGCTATGTGTTCTTGGGCAAGTCACGTCCCCACTGCAAGCCTCCTGTTCCTCATCTGTAAATTAGGAGGTTGGACTAGAATGATTTCTAAGGTCTGCCTCTCCGTGTGCTAACATTCTGTGATTCTAATGCAGATAAATCTCAACCTCATTGACCAAGCATGCTAGGGTGATCTCTCAAGGAGATGGATGTTTGGCGCTATCACAGTTTGTTAAAATAGAACAGCCTTCTGAACTGTCGCCAGAATATAATGAATCCCATTTCTGTAGAACAATGATGGGACCAGTCATGTAGTGGGGTTTGTCGATGTGGCTGGTCTCTTTGGCCCAACGTCCTCTGCCACACATATAAATGTGAGACTCTGGCAAAAGAGATTAATGTGGCGCCTGAGGAACTTCCGAGTAAAGCCAGGTATGAGTCACGGAGTTGGTCTCACATTCTGCTGGGCTGTTGGGGCTGAGGCGCCAGTTTAAATTTGCGTTGGTTCAAAGAGCAGGACTTTCTTCCAGACACCTGTCCAGGTTCCAGACTGTCCGAGTTAGGAGGGGTGTTTGGAACCACTTCTTAGTCGAAGGCCTCCCTTTACAGATAGGCACCCCAATGACTGGATGGAAAGAGCTTGCGCAAGACTGGCTGCTGCTGAGCAGAGATCCATAGAAGCTTCTAGACCCTTCCTGACTTCTCTGTGTCTGGGATTGCACTCCCCTTGTGGCTCCTTCCTGCCCCTGCAGGTCTAGCACTTTCTTCCCAGTTTTCCCTGCCAGCCAGCCAGTCTGGGTCCCTCCCCTAGAAGGTGTGTTTGGCAATCTCTCCACTTCAGTCAATGGAGGACCTTGCCTGATAGGCTAAGGAGTTCGGCTTTTATCTCAAGGGGCAAGAGGAAACCATCAAAGGTGGCATTATGAATATAAGACATTTATTGAGCTCTAAATGCTGGCAGGGATGGGGGAGGAGAACTTGGGGGGCAAGAGGAGGAAATACAAGCAAGTGGACAGTCTTCCTGGATGAACTGGAAGGTTCTAAGCAAGGGAGTGACATGATCTGATATAGCAGGTGAAAATGGAGATGGAGACAGGGAGGAGGTGGTCCCAAACCCAGAGAGAGATTGGGGGGGGAGCAGAATCGGGGCTGGGCAGTGGGAACAGAGAGGCTTTTATCTTGTGGATGGAGTCACAGGACTTGGTCACTGACTGGACCTGGAGGTGAGTGACAGTAAGGAGCAGGGAGTTGATGATACCCAGGGCTCTGGCCGGACTGATACAGTCTAGGCCTCCCCAGGTGGCAGAAGAGCAGGGCAGCTGCTGTCACCTGGCTGACGGTGTCCTTAAGGGACAGCCCAGCGACAGCCCAGCCTCTCTGTGCAGGTGTCTGCATCTGCTGAGGTCTGTCAGTCCATCGTCTGTGTTCTCCCCACCCTACAAGAGCCTGCGTGGCCAGGGCTAGTCCCGCCGCCGGGGAGCTGCAGCAAGCCTGCGCTCACGGAGAACTTGTCTGTGCACAGGTTTAACCTTGAGGTTTGACCTGAAAAATGCCTTAGAGGCTACCTTGTTTCTAGCGAGCAAAGGAAGATAGGAGAGGAAGGGATGGAGAGTTTGCGGTCATGGCCCAGGCCTTCCCACTCCTGTAATCCTGCCTTGCACTTACTAGTTCCTGTCTGGGGGTAAAGGAGCCCAGAGGTACAAAAGGAGTAAAAGATATGGCTCTTTCTCTTTTTCTCTTGAGGAGTTTACAGTTTAATTGAAAGGACAAGCGGAAACAGGAAACCACTAGGAAGCAACACGACAGCCCAGTAGACAATGCATGGGGAGGAAGTTTCAGAATCAGGGGTTCACAACAGGACCCAGTGATCTGGGAAGGCTTCCCAGAAGGGTTGGGCCTTGAGATCATAACCCTAGAAGGTGAGAGAGAAGGGGAAAGGAAGATCAAGCAGAGGGAACCACATGGGAAAAGGCCCAGAGGTGGGACTCTGGGGACTTCTGGAGGCATCTAGACCACCTCCTAGGGATTTAGTTTCTGGGTCTTCTGGGGACTTGGGTCCTTTGTGGACTCCTGCAGCTGGGGGACAGTGTGGGGTGACAGAGTAACCTAAAGGGACTGGGAGGTGTTTCCCAAGACCCATTCCCCAGGCTCCTGGAAACAGATGTCCATGGAGGCCTCCCAAGGCAAGACTTGTGTGCACTCTGAGTTTGTCTATCTGGCAGGCTCCAGTTGGGCAGTAGGTCCCCAGCTGCAGGACCTGGCTGCGGGTTTGGGGTGCTCTGTACCTGCCCCGAGAGGATCCAGAGGTTTGTCACTGGGGGTGGAAGGGGGCGCAGCCAGTGCAGAAGGCAGAAAAGCTAGCCCTGCTAGATGGCGTGACCCAGCCAAGCCAAGGAGCCCAGGGAAGGCCGGAGGCCACAGCCCAGCTCCTGACCCACCTAATCCTCAGCTGTGCCTGCCCTCTGGGCTGTCTCTGTCCCCAGGGTGTGCCAAATGTGGCACCTTCCCAGACTAACGCTTCTGCCTGGGCAAGCCGTGGAAGAGCCTGGTTCTGGCCCTTCTTGTGGCACTCTGGTCCCTCAGGGGTTTAGTCTTGCCCTGTGCCTATCCCTGGGAACCGGGAAGGGTGGGAGCCAGAAGGGCTAGCCCAGGAAGGGGCACCCCTAGAAGGAAAGGAAGGAGAGAAAGGAGCTCAGAGAATAATGGGGCCAGAGGACCACAGACTTGCCCAGCCAGGACAGGAGCCAAAGGGTTAACAAAAGCAGCGGTGCTGATAAAATGCCCCAAATTCCTGGTCCTGCCTCCAATGGGGAGGGCGTCTGGCAAATGTCAACGATAAAAAATACATTTTAATGGCACATGATGCAGCCGCTACCGTGGGGCACGGCCGAATGAAGCAGGTTTGGAGCAGGAACTACTGTGTGTTACTCCCAGGGCTCCGGGGCCAAGCCTCCTGGGCTCTCCTGGCCGGGTGGGGCGACCCGCCTCCCCAGCCCCAGGTGGCCTCGAGGGCCCATAGGTGCGGGGGGCTTCTGGCCTTCTCTGGCATTATTTCTGGAACTTTGCCACCTCCTACCTTGGCACCTGGAACTCTAGCCCATGATGGAGCTTCCCTCCGGGCTGTGAGCTGCCTTGAGCAGGTCTGAGGGCAGGATGCATCTGGGAACCCCTTCAGCAGGCCTCTGCAAGCGTTGAAACAGTTGAAAAAAGTTGGAGTGGGACACTTTCCTCAGCTCCTCCCCCATGCTGCATACTCTGGCAGGCATCTCTAGGAAAGGCAGGTCGCAGGGCAGCGGGGTGGGGGGGGTGGAGGGGTGAGGAGTGGGAGGAGCAGGGTGAAGGGGCGGGCAGCTGGAGCAGGAAACCTGAGGGAGATAAATTATGTATAGCACCTTTCTGGCCTGTGCCAGGACTCAGGCCCTGGAACCTGGGCCTTTAAGGAGAATGAAAGCCAGCCCAAGGCCAGCTGACCGAGACCAGCGACAAGAGGGTGAGGACCTGGAGCTCAGAAAGAGACCCTTCTCTTCCAGATCATCCTCAACTCCATGCACAAGTACCAGCCACGGCTGCACATCGTGAAGGCTGATGAGAACAACGCTTTCGGCTCCAAAAACACAGCCTTCTGCACCCATGTGTTCCCAGAGACTTCCTTCATCTCTGTGACCTCCTACCAGAATCACAAGGTACAGCCACCCCCCAGCCCCCACCACTGACCCTGCGTGGCATTTCTGTGCCAGTAGGGAGGCAGGAAGGGAAGCCACCCTGCACTGAGGTGGAGGCGCTGGGGACACCTGGGCTGTCCCTCAGAGCAGCGAGAAAGCAAATGCTGAGCAGGAAGAGAGACCAGACTCCTAAATCTCCAGGGCGACGTCATTATGGGGATTGGACGAAGCTGGCAACTATAAGAACCAAGAGCGTGGAACTTGTCTTGTGGCTTGAGTGTTGGGCCATTTTGTTCTATAACCTTCTTTGCCCTGGTGGGATTCAAAGGTCAGACTCTGGGCCTGCCAGGAAAAGGGAAAGAACTGGGGAAAGTAGCCTCAGGGCACGGTCAGCTGTGTGGGAGGCCGGAGACTGAGCCTGTGGTCAGCCGGTGGTCAGAGGGGTCCACCTCCCTCCCCAGCACACCCCCTCCCCCGCCTGACCACCCCTAACCGCCTCCGGATCCCTGCACAGGCCACTCGCCCCTGTCTCTCTGCCTCTGCCCGGGTGACCCTTCTCAGGGGGCTTGTCATATTGTGCGAGGGACTGGCCAGGTGGGCTGGGGGGGACTGAGGAGGGGCCATAGGCTGTGGCAGATTTCAGGCATTCAGGCGTTCAGAGTGACAGATTTGCATTTAGTACGGTCCCTCAGAAGCTGATGTGGCAGATGCCCTGGACGGGGTGACACAGATGGGAAGCTGTTGAGCATGCAGGTAGCCCAGTGGGGGAGGAGAACAGGAGACGGAATCAGAAGGTCTGCAGTGAGTAGAATGGTCAGAAGCCAGCAAGGAGCCAGCCGTGAATGGTGAGCGCCGGGAGGATGTGGCGAGGCTGCCGGCCGGCTGGCTGAGGGCTGGGGCGTGCACCTTCCCGGGACTCTGCTGGGAGCTCTGAACGGTCTGGGACAGGGGAGGAGGACCAGCAGCCAGCCCAGTCCTCTACCCCCGCGACTCTGTGTGTCCTCTCCTGACAGATCACACAGCTGAAGATTGAGAACAACCCTTTTGCCAAGGGATTCCGGGGCAGTGACGACAGTGACCTGCGTGTAGCCCGGTTGCAGAGGTGGGGATGCCTGGCCCGGTGGGGGGTGGTGGTGGTAGGGGATGTGGGGCGCAGACTGGGTTCAGGCCCACAGACCTGGTAGCCCTCCAAGTATCTTTACTCTCTTCCTGTCTCCCTGTCCCTGTCCTCCCCATCTCTCCAGCAAAGAATATCCTGTGATCTCCAAAAGCATCGTGAGGCAGAGGCTCGTCTCCACCCAGCTCTCAGCCAAGCCTGACGTCAGCCCCCTGCATGGTGCCCACCAGGCGCTCCAGCACTACCAGTATGAGAATGGGGCTCACATGCAGTTTGCTGCAGCTGAGCCACAGGACCTTCCCCTCAACACCTTCCCGGCCCAGAGGGACTCAAGCCTCTTCTATCACTGCCTGAAAAGACGAGGTAGCTCTCTCCTAGTCCAGAAGCCCTAGAGGGTCAGACAAGGGGTAAAGCCCTTCCTACAAACACTCTCCATCATATGTGCGAACATGCACGCCTGTGTGGGCACACACCTGTGTGCATATGTGTGCACGTACACACCACACACACACACACACACACACACACCTGGTTATCGTGTGGTCTGGGAGAACAAGCCTGGAGGGTTAGAGGGTTAGAGGCCATGGCCCGGCTTAGTGCAGGGATGTTGATTCTTGATTTTAATGCAGCCTTCAGAATCCTCATGGACAGCTTATGGCCTTGGTGTCCCCAGAACCCTGGTCGGTACCCCTGCCTGGGCCAGGTGTTCTTTATAGCCACTGCTCAGAGCCTCTGCAGGGTGGGCACATCACACAGAATCAGGTGGACTCTGTCTCTAAGCCTGGGAAGAGGCTGAAGCCTCAGGGTCCAGAGGTATGGGGATTAGGGCTGTCATTTATCAAAGCACCCTCAATCCTAAAACAGGGGTGACCCAGAGTCATGAGAACAGGCTCGCCACCTCATCATACCAGGATCTGCAAAGAGATTCCATTGTTATGAATGGAAATCTGCTATGTGGATGTAGATTGGGGGCCAGGAAGCCAGGCAAAAGAACTGTTTTCGTTTTCTTTGAAGAGGAGCCTTGAACATCTACTCTGGTACCGGGTCTGGTGTCACATTCTCCATCTATAATACAGATGATTATCGTTTATACCAGAAGAACTCTCAGGGCCCCTGAAATTCTCTTGGGAATGAGTTGGGAGACTTTTCCTTAGAATCCAGAATGTTCTCTCCACCTAGCTCCTAGGGAGCTGCTGGTAGGGCTCTGGGTACCCTCTGCTCCAGTCCTATTAGAATGAATGGTCTAGGGGCACCTGGGTGGCTCAGTCAGTTAAGCGGCTGCCTTTGGCTCAGGTCATGATCCCAGGGTCCTGGGCTCGAGTCCCGCATCGGGCTCCCTGCTCAGTGGGAAGCCTGCTTCTCCCTCTGCCTGCCACTTCCCCTGCTTGTGCTCTCTCTCGCTGTTAAATAAATAAATGAAATATTTAAAAAAAAAAAAAAGAACAAATGGCCTAGAACAGGGGTCGGCAAACTGTGGCCCTTGATCCAAATCTGGACTGTTGTCTGGTTTTGTCTGGCCTGTGAGCCATAAAAAATGGTTTGACATTTTTTTAAGAGTTGAAAAAAAATCAAAGGATGGTTATTTCATGATATGTGAAATTATATGAATTTTAATATCCATAAATAAATTGTATTGGAACACAGACATACCCATTTGTTTACCTGCTGTCCGTAGCCACTTTCATGTGACACCAGCAGGGTCAAATGGCTGCAACAGATTCCATTACAGCCCACAGAGCCTAAAATATTTACTATCCGGCCTTTTCCAGAAAAAGTTTGCTCACTCCTGACCTAGAGTGACTGGGCCACGTTTCAAGTCCAAGAGCTTCATGCTCTTGAGGGAAAGGAGGAACTTGGAGGGGGGGTAGAGAGGAGGGGTGAACGAGGGATGACGAGAGAGCCCGGTAAGAGGGAGAAGCAAGTTCCTCCTCCTCAGGGAAGAGGCTTCCAGAGGGGCAGAGGGGAGAGGTGAGTGCAAGCCCTCAAACTCAGTCCACTTACTCCCCAGGCCACCCTGCCCTGTGCACACACACACACAGCTCCCAGAATGAATCCCTGGAGAAAGGGGAGGGAGGCCAAGTGAAGCCATTGGACAAGTGTCCTTCAATTTGTTGAGTGGGCTGTTGCCAATTCTCAGGCCTGGGTCATCCCTGGGTCCCAGGGGAGGATGTGCCACTCCAGACAGTCATGGTTGAGGATGTCGAAAGACACACACATATGTGGTTTGGGGCAGCTGATGTCATCTTTCCCCAAAGAGAGTTATCAGCTGAGCCTTAAAAGTCCAAGTCACCTTTTACTTATCATCAGCTCCATTTCTTTCTTTATTTTTTTATAATTGTTATTTATTTATTTATTTTAAGATTTTTTTAAATTTATTTGAGAGAGAGAGAATGAGAGAGAGAGAGCACGAGAGGGAAGAGGGTCAGAGGGAGAAGCAGACTCCCTGCTGAGCAGGGAGCCCGATGTGGGACTCGATCCCGGGACTCCGGGATCATGACCTGAGCCGAAGGCAGTCGCTTAACCAACTGAGTCACCCAGGCGCCCTCAGCTCCATTTCTTAATTTTGTAAACACTGTTCGGTTGGACTCTGTATAATAACAATCTGCTGGGACTCCTTTGAACACATGTAGGGTTTACTTCCTCTTCTAAAAGCAACAGGAACGTGCCTGCGAGTAGCTTTCGCTTGCTAAGGCCTCCCTGGGAGCTGAGGATGAAGGCAGAAACATTGTGGCTTTAATTTTCTGGCTAATTCAGACAGATGTGGCCTCTGGGCCTGTTTCAGCCTGGCAATTGCCTCTACTTTCCTTGGCCAGGGTGGGCCTCGCCTAAGAATGCCAGTGCACATTAAGGCCTCTTCCCATCCCTAAGAGTCACGGTGGCAAAGGATGAAAGCTATATGCCTCCTGGCTAACCATATCACTGGGTGTCCTCTGATGTGGTGTCCCCTGTGGCCTCTGAGCAGGGTCCATAATCTGACCACTTCTTGGCTGCTGCCGCCTTATAAAAGCTGTACCTAATTAAAATGATTCTGGAAGTGCTACGGCCACACGGGGCGAGGGCAAGGCCTGCCTGACAATGGTAGGCCATCTTGGCATCCAAAAGGAGGGTTCCAGGCCCTGGGCTGGTGGAATATGGCTCTTCCTGAAGGTTTCTTTGTCTTCCAGCAGACAGTGCCCGCCATCTGGACCTACCTTGCAAGCGATCCTATCTGGAAGCTCCCCCTGCAGTGGGAGAGGATCATTATTTCCGTTCTCCCCCTCCCTACGACCAGCAGATGCTGAGCCCCTCCTACTGCAGTGAGGTGACCCCAAGAGAAGCCTGTATGTACTCAGGTTCGGGGCCCGAGATTGCCGGGGTGTCTGGGGTGGACGACTTGCCCCCACCCCCCCTGAGCTGTAACATGTGGACGTCAGTCGCCCCGTACACAAGCTACAGTGTTCAGACCATGGAGACTGTGCCTTACCAGTCCTTCCCCGCCCACTTCACCGCCACCACTATGATGCCTCGGCTGCCCACTCTCTCGGCTCAGAGCTCCCAGCCGCCGGGAAACACGCACTTCAGCGTCTACAATCAGCTCTCACAGGCTCAGGTCCGGGAGCGGGGGCCCGCTGCCTCCTTCCCGAGGGAGCGCGGCCTCCCCTCCGTGTGCGAGAGGAAGCCCCCCTCGCCACACCTGAATGCTGCCAATGAGTTTCTCTACTCTCAGAGCTTCTCCCTGTCCCGGGAAGCGTCCTTACAGTATCATTCAGGAATGGGAACTGTGGAGAACTGGACTGACGGATGACTCCCATGTCCGGCGACAGCCCAGGACCATGTTAATCCAGTGTTAACCTCTGTGGGTGGCCTGCGCTACCGAGAAACACAGGAAGGTATTTCAAAGGGCGGGGTGTCTGCGTGTATGTGTGCGTGTGTGCGTGTGTGCATGCGCCCGTTTGGAGAGCATCCGCCTTCGGACGTACCGCTGAGGCCACGACAAGGGAAAGAACCGCAATTATCTAAGAAGTGACTTGGGCTGCAGGACCTGGGTCCACTGTTAGCTCACATCTCTTGACAGGTGCAGGGATGGGACGGCAGTGGAGAGTTCATGTGAGTTACGCAGAGGTTTTGATAATATAATCTTTGATTCACTCAGGGGCCAGGTGGTGAGGTCTCTCTCACAGGGAAGGTTGGGGGAAGACTCGCATTGCTGGGGTGGGAGGGCTCTGTGCACGTCTTTGAGTTCCTGGCCTTCTGTTAGCAAGGGAAGCTGGAAATCTTGTCTGGGGAGCAGGGGGCCCACTCTCCTGGAGATTCCGTGAGACGACCTGAGACATGCGCTCGGCTAAGCCACAAAGTGCGCTCTGAGAGTAGAGCTCACGGCTCAGTCAGTGGCCTGGAAATTGATCCCTGGAGTCCTGAGGTCTGAGGAATGACTTTCAGAGAAGGTCATGTGCTAAGTGCCACCTGATGGGTTTTAAAAAAATTTTTTTTCCTTCAAGAGGAGGGAAAATGCAACCAATAGCATCTCTGTCATCATTCAGGTTTTCTTATATGGTACAAAGCCCTTCCCCTCAGCCCCCGACGTGCAGTTTCTCACTCTCTCTGGTGTACAAGACTCTCGGCCTCTCAGGCACCATCTGCAACCGATGACTGGCAATTATGAAACACACTTCACCTGGCAACGTCCCCAGGAGACCACATTGAAGCTGCTTGCCAGGCAGAGCCTGTTCTGCTCCCAGAAAATCTTCGCTCTGGAGCAAGAAAGCCCAACAGAAATAAAAACAAGAATCGAGAAAACATTCATTTCTTCCAGTACTTTTGGCCAGTGAGCTCAGAGAAGCGAGGATAATTCTCCAGTGAGGTGGATCGTGTAGTCCCCAGCCCAGCTCTTTAGCATTGAATATCACCAGACCATCCATGTGGCGGGTGTGAACTCTGTAATCAAATTTGGGAAATCACTAAACTCTTTGCATGCTGAATAGCTATTTATATATTATATAAATAAATAAATCTCTCTCTCTCTCTCTCTCTCTCTCTCACACACACACAAATGCAGGCCACATGTCAAATTCAGCTTTGCTTTTTACAAACGAATAAACTTAATAAAATGAACGCTGGAGGGGGTATTTGGAAAGACATCTATTTAAATTTTTATTACACATTTGATGTTAAAAACTAAGAATGGTTTAGATAAAACATATAAATAAATAATTAATAAATAAATAAATATATATATATATATATAAACGGACACACACACACCACAGTTTAAATTTTATTAGAAAACACAATGGCCAACAGGGGATATGGAACTTCAAGTGTTTTGTTATATAGCATGGACATTTTATTTTACATACCGGAACATAAAGCCATTTTACAACTGTGAAGTGTGTGGATGCTCTTTACTACTGAATTGTCATTTCTTGGCTCAGCAATGGTCTCAGCGTCCCTTTTGCTGGTATTTTTTTCTGTGCCTCTGAGCATTTGTACCATGGAGCCTCTGAGCCTCAAGTGAAGGAATTTAGAGCCAATGGAACAATTGTACCTCTGATCTCGTGCTACTCCCCAGATGACAGGTCTGGATTCCAGGGCCCACAAAGACCCCAGAAGGGCAAGGCAGGCAATACACCAGAATCCGTCCCCTTTCCATAGTCACCACACAGCCTGGTGATTTGGGGGAGGTGGTCTTACAAGTAGGGAATTCTTGGTGGGATTTGTGTGGCTTCTTCAGACAAAGAACTGAAGAGCAGGTTGGAGGGAGAGCCTGGCGCTTCCTGGAGAGGTCAGATGTATGAGCTCATCAGGCACCTGCACCCCAGAGAAAGGAATCAAGGCCCGGAAGAGACCTCTGCTTCCCACTCCTCAGCCAGATCCCTAAAGCGTGGCCGTAAGATGGAGTGGAAAAAGGGGAGATGAAATTCAGTCCAGGTTCGCCCTATTAGATTAGAAGAGAAGCTGGTGTGGGAAGGTGTGTTGGGTCCCCCTCCTTACAACCCCTTGCCTCTTGCCTCCTCCCTTTGCCGTTCCTTTTCCAAAGCTGCTCATTGTCACCCACCATCTCCACAGCAGGCTGGTCTGGGAAGCCAGGAGAAGAGAAGGCAAGGATAAGGGTGTTCTTTAAACCCTCATCTTCATGAAGATGAGGTTTCCTGCTGGGTAAAAAGTCAACCTTGTCATCTGTTTCCCCCAAGTCCTTCCCTGTGGCTTTAAGGCTGCTCTCTAGGGGAGACTCCTTCCTGCAGAAGGAGGCCAAGCTCCTTCTCTCCTTGGCTATTGGTTCCCGTCTTGGGCTCGTTGGTCACAGAGAAAAACCTAACTGAACCTGGCTTAGGGGACAGGGAAGGGGGTGGGCTCTTCCTTAACTCACACCTGCTCTGCTCTTTTCTTTCTGGGTGAAGACTGCATTCTGGGATACCCCACACCTTCTAGAACCCCAGACAGAGGGCTGGGAGCTAGATGTGGGTTCCCAGGCTCTCTCCAGATACACAGTTGCCTGAGTCCAAGGTAGAGAAACGGTCTCTTAAGGGATATCCTGCCTCTAGGCAGCGCCTATCTTCCTACCAGCTTTCTGGGAAGCATGAAGTTCTTGGGCTTCCCCACCTGGGCACGGCTAGAGAGCAGGGCCTGCAGTGGGATTTGTGGAACTTTCCTGCCCCTCTGAATCAACAAGTCAATAAAAAGGGGGCACATGGGATACCCTGGAACAAAGGGCACCATTCAGTAGCGCCAACAGGTCATACATCATCGGGCCAGAAACCTGCCACATGAAAAGTGTCTGCTTCTCCAGTGCCCTGCCTGGGAAGGGGGGAAAAAATGACTATTCAGCGGTGAGGCCATAGACAGGCAGCAACCCCCACCCCCGCCGCCCCAACCAGGGCTCTGCTCGCCGGCCCAGGCCCGACCGCTTGGGGAAACGGCGCTAGGCTCTCAGCTGCAGCTCGGCTACCCAACTGCCCTCCAACAACAGAAGAGCCTGGAACAACAAAAGGGAGAATGAAAGAGAAGCTGGGTCAGACTGACAAATTGTTAAAAAACCAAACCAACTTCCAGTCTTGGCTGGGCCTCAGGGGGTCAAGAGGCCTCGGCTCGCCCCACTAATGGAGCCTGCTGGAGAAGTAGCAGCCCCAGCCTTGCAGTGTCTTATCTTACAACATAAAATTAAAACCCACTTAAAAGGCCGGAGGGCATGTTAACATTCCCCCTGCTGTCTAATTGAAGTAGTTCCCAGTGCAAAGGATTTCACTTGAAAGATGTCCCCTTCCGAGCCCCAGTTCTCCCGCTTGGCAGGCAGGGGAAGGGAGCAGGGAGGGAGAGACTGTCATTTCAAAAGGGCAGCACAAGCTCAGGCAGGAAAAGCATGGTTCTGTTGGCCGTCCCCACCCAGGCAGCAGGTGGCGACAGCAAAGGTTAGGACAGGCTGGGTTGTTTTGTATTTTTTAAAAAAATTTACAAATTCATTAGCAGTTATGTCAGCAGAGGCCAGACTCCTGACAAGAAGCCCTGGTAATGATTCAAATATGGCGAGCCCTGCAGCTAAACCTGGCAGTTCCTGCAGCCGAGAGACTTCTATTCCGTCCCCCAACAACGCCGTGCTCCCTCCTATGCAAATATATTACAGGTCTCGAAGGCATACGGAATCAATCAGGGACATCCTGTAAAGGTGATGAACTTGCACTGGCCATCCCGAGTAATGGGAACCAGTCAGCCTGCAGCCGGCTGGGACTGAAAGCCAAGGTGACAGCTATTAAGCAATTGTGTGCCGAACAAAATGGCAAAGGGGCCGGATAATCAATTCAATTTCGATGGGCAACCCAAGCAACCGCAGCGTCTGTCGTCTGTCGCAGCTGATTAGAGAGGCCGGGCCCGGAGCTTTCAATGCGAGCCCATCAGAGATCAGAAACAGGCCCGGGATGAAAAGGGAAAGAACTGTCTCCTGAGAAGCAGGCGATGAAGAACTCTGTTTTATGTGACTGTGTTCTTCTTTCTCTCCTTGAAGAAAGAGGAGGAAAAAAGCGTGCAGTTTGGAGATTAGATAGTTTTCTTTTCAGCCATTTATCATTATGAAGGAAAGTAGACAGGGCAGGGGCAGAAAAATCTCCAGTGGGATTTCTGCGAAGTCTCACTAAGAAGGACCAGGTTTACACTTTGCAGCTCAAACAGCCCCTGCTTATTACCACAGCCTGACGGGGGTCTGCAGAGTGTCCAGAGTCCCTCTTCTCTAACAAGGGCAAACAGGTCCCAGCGTTCGGAGGATCACAGAAATTCTCCTGCAGAAACCCCAAACCACCAAATTGTATCATTTGTGAAAATTAAAGCCTGAGTTGGAATAATGGGGAGAGGAGGAAAATGGGAAAGGAAAAGATGAGATAGAGTTGTATAAAGTCGCAGCGGGTGAGGCCCCCATGGCGGCCCTCCATTTCCCCGGGGCCTAGGTCAAGGCAGGAAGGGCCCTGGCTGTGTCTGCCCAAGGTCAGCACTGACCCCAGTCTGATGCTGGACCCTGGCAGCCTGCTTGAAAATTCTAGGCTTATGTTCAGTTCTCCAGGGCAGCGGGGCTCAGGGAGGCAGAGCAAGGGCACCCCCAAGCACAGAAGCCATGACAGAGACCAGCTCTGGCACTGAGGAGGGAGTGACAGGCTTGTGAGCCGATGGCAAGGGATGCAGACCCAGGAAGGAGAGGGCCGTGCTGGAGCCCAGGGTGGGAAAGAAGCATCTGAAGTAGGGCAGGTGGTGAAAGAGGAAGGACTGATTTAGAAATGGAGGGCCCTGGGTGCCCATGATCAGCTCCTTCTTAAGAATTACAAAGGGAGGGGCGCCTGCGTGGCTCAGTTGGTTAAGCGACTGCCTTCAGCTCAGGTCATGATCCTGGAGTCCCGGGATCGAGTCCCAC